AGATGGATTCAATGCAGAATTCTACCAGACAATCAAGGAAGAACTAATACCACGACTCCTCAAACTGTTCCACAAGATAGAAACAGAAGGTTCATTGACAAACTCTTTTTATGAGGCCACAATAACTTTGGTACCTTACCAAGCCTCACAAAGACACAACTAAGAAAGAAAACTACAGACCAATATCCCAGATGAACATGGATGCAAAAATACTCAAAAAAATGCTGGCAAACCGAATTCGAGAATACATCAGAGAAATCATCCACCATGACCAAGTAGGCCTCATCGCTGGAATGCAGGGATGGTTTAACATAAGAAAATCTACCAACGTGATCCACCATATAAACAAACAGAAAAAGAAAAACCATGATTGTCTCCTTAGATGCTGAAAAAGCCTTCGACAAAATTCAACACCCATTCATGATAAAGGTCTTGGAGAGGTCAGGGATAACAGGAACATACCTAAACATAATAAGAGCAATATACAGCAAACCAGCTGCCAACATCAAACTGAATGGAGAGAAACTTAAGCCAATTCCACTGATATCAGGAACAAGACAAGTCTGCCCTCTCTCTTCATATCTCTTCAATATCGTACTAGAAGTTCTAGCTAATGCTATTAAGACAACAAAAGGAGTTCAAGGGGATCCAAATTGGAAAGGAAGAAGTCAAACTGTCTCTATTTGCAGATGATATGATAGTTTACATAAGCGACCCAATAAACTCTACCAGGGAACTCCTACAGCTAATAAACACCGTCAGCAAACTAGCAGGATACAAGATAAACTCAAAAAAATAAGTAGCCCTACTTTTTTCAGACGACAAAGAGACAGAGAAAGAAATCAGAGAAACATCACCTTTACAATAGCCACAAGCAACATAAAGTATCTTGGTGTAACGCTTACCAAACAAATAAAAGACCTATATAATAAGAACTTTGTGGCTCTAAAGAAAGAAATTAAAGAAGATACCATAAATGGAAAGATCTCCCATGCTCTTGGATAGGTAGGATAAACATAGTAAAAATGGCAATCTTGCCACAAGCAATCTACAGATTCAATGCAATCCCCATTAAAATTCCACCACAATTCTTCACGACCTTGAAAGGATAATAATCAACATTATATGGAAAAACAAAAGACCCAGGATAGCCAAAACAACCCTATACAATAAAAGAACTTCAGGAGGCATCACCATTCCAGACTTTAAGCTCTACTACAGAGCTATAGTTCTGAAAACAGCCTGGTATTGGTATAAAAATAGACAGGTAGACCAATGGAATCGAATTGAAAATCCTGATATTAACCCATACACCTTTGAACACCTGATTTTCGAGAAAACAGTTAAATTTATACAATAGGGCGAGGACAGCATCTTCAACAAATGGTGCTGGCACAATTGGATGAGGGTGTGTAGAAGATTGCAGATAGATCCATGTCTGTCACCATGCACAAAACTCAAGTCCAAATGGATCAAAGACCTCAACATCAATCCAGCCACATTGAACCTCTTAGAAGAGAAAGTAGGAGGTACCCTTGAACAAATTGGTATAGGAGACCACTTCCTGAACATAACTCCAGGGGCACACACACTGAGAGAAACAATTAATAAATGGGACCTCTTCAAACTTAGAAGCTTCTGAAATGCAAAGGACACAGTGGACAAGACCAAACGGTAGTCCACAGACTGGGAAAAGATTTTCACCAATGCTATATCCGACAAAGGGCTGATCTCCAAAATATACAAAGAACTCAAGAAACTAGTAAACAAAACGCCAAATAACCCTATTTAAAAACTGAAGAAAGAATTCTTAATAGAGGAAATCAAAAAAGCTGAAAGACTCTTAAGACAATAGCTCTACATCCTTTGCTATCAGGGAAATGCAAATCAAAACAACTTTGAAATACCATCTTACCCCTGCCAGAATGGCTAAAATTAGAAACACCAATGATGACTTATGTTGGAGAGAGTGTGGAGAAAGGGGAACATTTCTCACTGCTGGTGGGAGTGCAAACTCATACAGCCATTTTGGAGATCAGTATGGCGGTTCCTCAGGAAAATGGGAATTAGTTTACCACAGGACCCGGCAATCCCCCTCTTAGGCATATACCCAAAGGATTCACATCCATGCAACAAAGACATTTGTTCAACTATGTTCATAGCAGGACTATTTGTAATAGCAAGAACCTGGAAGCAACCTAGATGCCCCTCAATTGAAGAATGGTTAATGAAGATGTGGCACATCTACACAATGGAATACTACTCTGCAGAAAAAAATAATGGTATCTTGAAATTCGCAGGCAAGTGGATAGCACTTGAAACCATCCTGAATGAGGTAACCCAGTCACAAAAAGAAGAACACAGTATGTACTCACTCATATATGGATTTTTGATCTATATCAAAGGATCACCAGCCTATAATTCACACCACCAGAGGAACTAGGATACAAGGTGTATTCTAAGAGATTCATATAAAGTCCCTCACAGAACTGGGAAGGGACAAGTCCCCCTGAGCTGAGGGGAAGTGGGGGGGTGGAGGAGCGAATGGAGAGAGAAGTAGGAGAAAACGAGGGTGATGAAAAGAAAACATGTGCAACCAGGAAGATTTAGCCTGGTTAGGAATAGAAGACAGGAAAGAGAGAGAGAGAGAACATAAAAGAGGGAGCCAATATTGGTTTGAAGATAAAATTGAACACAAAGAAAGGTCTAGAGACCTACAAGACTGCTGCCAACTAACAATTTGAGCTTCTTTGGAAAGGCTACCATAAATGCCCTTCCCGGACAGTGAGAACAACAACTAACTCATCCATGGAGCCCTCAACTAATGCCTGTTGGAAACAGGAGCAAAAACCCGTACATAAACACTATGAGTAGGACAAGACCAGGCAGCAGAAACACATACAGACAGCTTACCTGAAGAAGGAGGAGCTAATGGGCCACCAGTCTGATAGCTGGGAAGCCAGCATGGGACTGACTCAGGCCCCCCTGAATATGGATCTCAGCCAGAAGGACTGAGCAGTCTAAGGGACCTCAGACAGTGGAGCCAGGATGTATCCCTGGTGCACAAAAGGTCCTTGCAAACACATCCCCCATGGAGGGATAACTGCCTTAATCTAGAGACAGGAGAGAAGCCCTAGTCCCTACTTCACATGACCTGTCAGATCTACATGACCCCAACTGGATGGCATTCCCCTACATATGGAATTGGGGTGAAGAGATGGGAGGGGAGGGTGGTTAGAGTACATGTGAGAGGGCAGAGAGGGTAAAATGGAGGAAAGGAGGGAGAAAGGAAGGGAGGGAGAGAGGAAGGGAGGGAAGAAGGGAGAGCGAACTGGGATCGACATGTAAAATAATAAATTAAATTTAAAAAAATGCTTTGAATCCAAAATTTAAGTTCAAGGACAAGTTCCTGGGGAAAAGGATATCTATTTTTGTTTCCACAGAAAATGAAAAGATGTGGATTCCTTCCAGACTAATGTGGTTTGATCAAGCCAGACCACCTGAAACAGAGTAGGAGGTGATCCTACATTCAATACAGCTGGACAAAGCAACCTCACCGACTACAGCCAGGATTTCGGAATCTTCTTCGAATCCCCCATGACAGCAGGAAGTAGTTTGGAAAGAACGACGCCCAAATTCCCAAATATTGTCTATAAATGTTTGTTTTCATTTAAATGGACTTGGTTATATTAAATAAATAAAAAATATAAAAAAAATAATAAATAAAAGGAAGAGAACAATGACTGGGGGTGTTGACACTAAGTTCCTGCTTATAAGTTAGGTATACAGAATCAACCCCCTCCCTGGGGTTGAGAAAGATGGTTCAGCTGTGAAAAGCACAGAGGACTGAAGTTCAGTTCATAGTACCCCTATCAGGCAGCTCACAACTATCTGTATCTCCAACTCCAGGGTATCCAACACCTCTCTGGCCTACTTGGGCATTTGCACTCAAGTATACATACTCACATGCAGACATACATACTACACCTAACTAAAGACATTAAGTTTAAAAAAAAAATTGCCTCTGTTCGTCGAGTGGATACCTCTGTCATCTTCATACTCAGCCTTGCTCACTCATGCTCCAAATGTGAAGCACCTAATTAAAAGTTAGCCTTGAGCTGTCAATAAAATTATGCACTAAGGAAATATTCAAACACATAGTAGTGACTTTGCTGAAACAGACTGTCATGTAAGATTTCTTTTTTTCTAATTCAAGTGTGGAGCAAATTAAAAAAAGAAAGTCTCCACATCTACATTACCATCCTTCCCTGAAGCAATGACACAATCACCAACAATCAAGATATTACACCGCATTCAAAACAATTGGCTGAGAAAATGGTGAGGCTTGTTTTTCCTGTTCATTTCTGGAGAGTAGCAACAATGGTCATTCTCTTTTACATGTTCAGGGAAGGCAATCGCTTTGCCTCATCCCCAAAGCTCTCTTGTCAGTATATAGATCATCTTTCATCCCCAGCCTCAGCCTGATGGCTGCTACAAGCCTCTCACACAGTACCCTGCCTTCTCTTTCACAGCATACCCACCTGTCTGTTTCCCCCATGACACAGTGTATGTCTAAAATATATTCTCAACACTAGGTTTGCTAAGGATGTCAATAAGCAATAAAACTTTGAATGTTTGAACAAATGACTAGATATATCGATGAATGGAAGACCTGGTTTCAGAAGATTCAAGCCATTCATCAGGGTTCAACTTTCTTCCCTGTGTTTTCACAGGGGCCATGTGACCAAACAGGCTTTGGACATCTGTCACTACAGAAACTTATGTTTTAATTTAGTCCAGTTTTTATTCCTTTCACTCCTCACCTTGCTGACTTCCTCCAACTACCTGTGGGATGCTAGATGTCATTTCTCATGACAGAAAACATTAATCCAATATTTTACCCAAGGAACAATAGGGCTTCCAGGCTCTTTCTAGTCCTCTGTTTCAGCCTGTGTTCCCTTGCCCTCCCACCTTCCCTTTCACTAGGCTTTTGTTCTTACCTTCAAAGCTCCCAGCAAACAAGTAAATCCAGGTGATGGCTGGGATGCAGAGCAGAGTCAAAGAGGCAGCCAAGAATTTCCTTCTCCCTCTGCAGATTCCCAGCATCCTCTCAGAAGTGGCAATTTCTAATTCCAGCACCGTGTGTCTGTCCAATGCATGAAGTCTTCAGCAACCCTCATAATACTTTCTGGAAGGAAAGGCAGAAGAGCAAGAGATGAATCCCATCATAATGCACAGATGGAGACAAACTGAAAAACAAAACAAAACATCCCATAGATCCTAAAATTAGATTTATTGGGCCATGGCTACCTGCTAACCTTCTATTACAGGAGATAACAGATGATGTTAGAATATTGCCTGTCAAAACAGACATTTAAATAAATGATGAGGTCTACAAGGAACCTCTCTCCTTCTAGCATTAAGCCGGCATCTATTACAAACAAATTAATACACAGTATGCTAGTAAAACTAGGGCATAGGCTGATATCAAAGAATACATTGTCATAAGTGACCAACTAAACAACATGATCATCATGAAAGGTAGAGGAAGCAGAACGACAAATGAACCTAAAGGACAGGAGCTTGATTAGGTCACAACATATTTGCTGAACTGACCTATGGTTGCAGTTAAGAACCTAAAAATATCTCAAGTGGGAAATGTCTACATAGTGTATCCCTCCAGTAGATCTCAAAAAGTTAGAAATCATGAGGATGGCTAAGAGTTAACCACAATGAACCTGGATAAATGATCCTTAGACAAAGACAAAATGGCATTGACAGGTTAAAAGAAGAGAAAGAATGATAGGAGTGGAGAGTATATTGATGGAGTAGAGAGCCCACAATATTTCACCTCAAAATTTACACAAACACACACACACAAATACATGGAGAGAGAGAGAGAGGGAGGGAGAGAGAAAGAGAGAAAAGGCACAAAGAGAGACAGAGAAGGACAGAGACAGAGAGATAAAGTTTCTCTCTTCCTGCTAAATACTGATCCAGATATAGAACTCTCAGCTACCTTTCTACTACCCTGTCTTATCTGTGTACAGTCATTTTTCTCAAAATGATGATACTGGACTAAAGCTCTGAACAGTAACCTAGCCTCAATGAAATGCTTTCCATTACAAAAGTTGCTGTGGTTATGGTGACCCTACACAGCAATAGGATACTAATGGAGAAGTTAGTACAAGGGATTAAAGTACTGCTGTGATAGGAGTGTCCATTCTTCTGTTTGGAGTAATGTGGATTTGGGGACTTTGGATTGGGAAAACTTTAACCTAGGCTTAATAGGTCATATTAATAAAAGCATGGAAGGTAGTGGTGTGCTGAAGGTGACTTGAACAAGTGGTGGCTCAACTCGAGAGTTTCTGAGAAGAATGTTAGTATGTGGCCTAAAGACCATTCTTGTAACATTCTGCCAAAGAATGTTTCTGCTTTGCATTCTTGTCCAACAAAAATCTGCCTGACACAGAATTGAAAAGATTTGGATTAACAGCTTTGGCAGAGGAAATTTCAAAATAGCCTAGTATTGACTGTGTTTTGTGGCTGTTAGCATAAGTCTTATGCTAATCTATAATGAAAATGAACAAAATGAGCAAGGAAAAACACAAAATGTACAATTAAGGAGCAAAAGAATTCCAGGAAAAGTTAAAAAAAAAAAAAAAAAAAAAAAAAAAAAGACAGAAACTAGATGGAATAAAGGGAGTGGTGACCTCAGGGTAAGACACCCAGCTAAAATTCCAATTTGTGGAAAGGAATTAAAGAAAAGTTTAGGGATGCCTTTAATTCTAGAAGGCTGGAGTACACAGATCTCTGAATTGGATGTCAACCTTGTCTACAGAGAGTTCCAAAACACCTGAGCTTAGAAAAAGAAATCCATTAAAAATAGAAAGATGATGAAAATATATTTGAACAGTGGGGTCATGTTCCAGCTCTAGCAAGCAGTGGAACTTGGTACACTTTCAGCCACATGGTTATGGACTAAGAATCAAGGATACACAGAACGGGATATGAAATCGCCCTCTGCAACTAAGGAAGGCCACTGAGGTCAGGTATATATGGCAGGGGTATCCCCTCATGGAGGCCTAGAAAGACCATTGTGTGAAGCTGTAAAGGTGAGGCCTGGATTGCCTTGGAGAACCCAAGATGTTAGAGATGCCAGAGTTGTGGGTTACCTACTAAGGGAAGCTTCCATGTGTGGAAGCACCCAGGAAAAAGAAGGGTGTTGAAGTTAACATCGCTGAAAGGTAGAAACCAGAAGAGTTCTTTGAATTCAGTCAGGGAGATACAGTTTGGGGTTTGAAACCTGGTTTTCTGTCTTGCTTTTGTCCACTATGCTCCCTTTCCTCTTCATTGGAATAGTAATATATATCCTGTGCCATTATACATTGGAAGTATGTAATCTGTATTTGCATTTTGATTTTGCCACGAGTCTCAGGAGACTTTGAATTTTGGACGATAAACAGCGTTGAGACTGTAATAGAGTATGATAGAAAGGACATTTTGAAGTTGAACTGAATGTGTTTTTGCATTATGGTATGATTATAAGTCTATGGGGGAGAACAGGTAATGTGATGGTTTGACTGAAAGTGATTCCATGGGCTCATAGGAATTGGCATTATTAAGCAGTGTTGGCCTTGTTGGAGTGAGAGTGGCCTTGTTGGAGAAATGTGTCACTGTGAGTAAACTTAGAGGTTTCAAATGATCAAGACAGACCTATTGTCTCTCAATCTCTTCCTGCTGCCTGTAGATCCATATATAGAACTCTCAACTACCTCTACAGCACCATGTGTGCATGAATGCTTCCATGCAAAATACCATGACAATAATGGACTAAACCAGCCCCAATGAAATAATTGTAGTGGTTATGGTGACATTCACAACAATAAAACCCTAACACACGCATAACACATATTAATTAAAAAAATCAGACCATGCCCGTCCATCCCCACCGCCAGCCTACACCCCCTTCCCTGTGCCATACTGTACCCATGGTCCTGCCACTCTGGTTGAGCACAGGCACAGAGGGTAGAGCCAACGGTCCACCTTCCTCCGGGTCTGAGCAACTCTGAACAAAGGAGACCTGCCTATCCACGCAGGACCACCTGTAATTTCCACCTGCTTGGTCTATGAGCCCACCTCCAGTCCTCTGATGGAGTCCCGGGCCCCTCCCAGAGATCCGCCTGTCACTGCAGGTACACTCTGAGTTCCTGCAGGCAAGATCCTTAACCCCCAAATCCAGGCCTCTGCTAAAGAAAGAGGCCTCAGCTGGAGAGTTCCAGTTTCCAGTGAGATCCAACTATCCTGCAAAACCTTCCCAAGTTTCAGCTTAGCCTTTGCCCTCTTCCGCCAGCTATTGTGCACTCATATATGGATTTTAGATCTAGATCAAAGGATCACCAGCCTATAATTCACACCACCAGAGGAACTAGGATACAAGGTGTATTCTAAGAGATTCATATAAAGTCCCTCACAGAACTGGGAAGGGACAAGTCCCCCTGAGCTGAGGGGAAGTGGGGGGGGGAGGAGCAAATGGAGAGAGAAGTAGGAGAAAACGAGGGGGAGGAAAGGAAAATATGTGCAACCAGGAAGATTTAGCCTGGTTAGGAATAGAAGACAGGAAAGAGAGAGAGAGAGAACATAAAAGAGGGAGCCAATATTGGTTTGAAGTAGAACTCAGATGCAGAGGGAGATGACAAGACCAGGGGGCAGAAACACATAGAGACAGCTTACCTGAACAAGGAGGAACTAACGGGCCACCAGTCTGATAGCTGGGAAGCCAGCATGGGACTGACTCAGGCCCCCCTGAATAGGGGTCTCACCCAGAAGGACTGAGCAGTCTAAGGGACCTCAGACAGTGGAGCCAGGATGTATCCCTGGTGCACAAAAGGTCCTTGCAAACACATCCCCCATGGAGGGATAACTGCCTTAATCTAGAGACAGGAGAGAAGCCCTAGTCCCTACTTCACATGACCTGTCAGATCTACATGACCCCTACTGGATGACATTCCCCTACATTTGGAATTGTAGTGGGGAAATGGGAAGGTGGTTAGAGTACATGTGAGAGAGCAGAAAGGGTAAAAGGGAGGGAAGGAGAGAGGGAGGAAGGGAGTGAGGGAGGTTGGGAGGGAGAGGGAACTGGGAAGGACATGTGGGATGGACATGTAAAATAATAAATTAAATTAAAAAAAAATATGCTTTGACTCCAAAATTTAAGTTCAAGGACAAGTTACTGGGGAAAAGGATTTCTATTTTTGTTTCCACAGAAAATAAAAAGATGTGGATTCCTTCCAGACTAATGTGGTTTGATCAAGCCAGACCACCTGAAACAGGTGATCCTACATTCAAAACAGCTGGACAAAGCAGCCTGAGAGACTACAGCCAGGATTTCTGAATCTTCTTCAAATCCCCGATGACAGCACCCCTTACCAGCAGGAAGTAGTTTGGAAAGAACAAGGCCCAAATTCCCAAATATTGTCTATAAATGTTTGTTATAATTTAAATGGACTTGGTTATATAAAAAATAGATAGATAGATAAATAAATAAATCAGACCATGAGGTCTCATCTCCAGCTCCTCAGCATAGATAACTATAAATGGAGATAACTCGTCTAGATAATGAAAACTCAGAGTCAGGTACAGACCGAAATGCTGAGAGACCAGAGCAAACCACCTCCACACCTTACCTCCTCAGTGTCTCAGCAGACAAAAGAGGGAGATTTTGTTTCGCGATACTTATGTCCTATTTTTGCCCAGCTATCTCACTTCCTGCTGTCTGCACAGGCCTCCAGACCTCCATGGTTAGCTAGTAGCAAGCTCCATTCTCTGACCTTCTTACAGGCTTAATTTGTACAATCAACATATCATCATAGGTGTCAGCTAGCAATAGATTGAAAAGTGAATCCAGGTAAAAGAACAACCCACACTAGTCAGCTATAAAAGGCTTCATATTCTCAAAGAAAGATTACATTCCCATACAGCTTGTCTCTCAGAGCCATGGGGTTCTACTTGAACTACCTACATTCTCACTACATTTGGAATCTTGATGGGAGATGTCATTCTGTATATGTTTCTCATACTGGTTAATAATAAAGCACTGTTGGCCAATAGGAAAGGAAGATAGGAGGGACTAGGAGACAAGGAGGAAATAGGAAGTAG